CATAATTCCTAGGTTATTAAAATAATATAGAACAAGTTGCCCCAAGATGAGATAAGATAAGAAAATATATTATTGCAGAAAACAGAAAACATTCCATTACAGAACAGATGCAACATTAAAGACTGGCGTTCTTGAACTGTCTGCTTATCTGGACTCTAGTATAAGGATAGAAATACTTAACATCTACTGACTTATCATGCAGTACAGCCTTGGAGCAAGGCTAGGTATGTGATGATCGGGGCCACTGAGAATGCCTTCATCACCCCCTGAGCATACCTCCCAGACAAAAGGTGAGGTGAAATTGGGTTTAACGTCACGTCCAAGATTATTGCACTTATATAGCGACGTGCATGTACGTGTTTGTGTTTGTATGGCTGCTCGTACTAGTCCGGACTGATGCCGATTTATAGTGCTAGCTCACTGAGATACCATGCCGCAGTTTATTATGAATACCCCACTCAGACACAGTATACTGACTCCGAGCCGACCGGTCCTTGTTTTAGCCCCTTAATGCCGAGCGCCAGACAGTGTAACAACAAGTACCATCTTTTAACGTCTTTTGGTATGATGCGGCCGGGGATCGAACCCCGGACCTTCCACTCTCTGGGCGGACGCTCTACCACTAGACAACGGAGGCGGCGCTCCCAGACATAAAGGTGACACTGATGTTCAACAACAACAACAACAACAACAACAACATCCTTCAAAGTACGGAGTTCTCAAGATTCATGCAACAAGTTTTTGCACAATTCTCATACAACTTTCATTAACGCTGATAAGTCCCCCTGCAGCTAATCCCAGCAGCTAATCTCGTCCTGAAATTGAATAATAACCAATCAGTGGCTGTAGCACACCATGTGGTCATTTTCCATATAATAGTAATAATTACATATGTCATAAAAAAATATTGAAAAAAAAAAAAAAAAAAATTACATATGTTCTGATTTGGAGCAAACTGCTTTAGTTGTTTAAGTTGTTCCCGGAGTGACATGTTTTGGTCGCCTCATTAAGATACAATCAAGGAACATTGGAGACAGTTCTTGTGAGTGATGTGCACATGGAATACCCAGCATGCACCTAAAACACTTATAATGCTCATTGTAAATAAAACACAGCAGAAAAGTAAACTATATTGCCAGGGCTTGAACACAATAACAGATGCGGGTTGGGCACAATGGGAAGACTATTATGGGATGGAGAGAGTGCAGGTGATGAAGAGGGGAGTTGACAAGGATGGAAGGAAGGGGGCAGAACGAATGACAGTTGTAAATGTGATTTATACGAGTTATGTACAACAGGCCACATATAATGGACGTTATCATGAAACTGCCATGATCCATCTGTTCACCATCAACACTGAGCCAACTGTAATGAGGTACATTAAGACATCAGACACAGGGCTCTGAAGCTCACCTAGAGCAAATGATGTTTTATGCTTTAGTCAGCAATAGTCTCACAAAACATCAATCCCAAACTACAGGAAAACCTTTGACTTATGACAACTCAATCCCAGATGATAAGAAACACGTCACGACATCTCAAAATCCAAAATAAAAAAAATATGATTTGTTCACCTTCAGTATTAATCCTACAGCTGCGGGTATTGTCTGATGGCGGTGGGGTAGCCTAGTGGTTAAAGCATTCGTTCGTCAAGACGAAGACCTGGGTCGATTCCTCACATGGGTACAATGTGTGAAGCCCATTTCTGGTGTCCCCCGCCTTGATATTGCTAGAATATTGCTAAAAGCAGCAAAAAACCATACGCACTCACTTAGTATCATGTAGCTTTACCCACACAACACATCTACCTTGTATTGTCCACAGACCTATAAAGTATCTACCCTAATAATCTGGCCCAGGGCTGGTCACACACCATCAAGTATATCAGACAACCACAACTGGCAGCCAGTCAGTCTCCATGGTCTGTTCACCTCTGACACAATGGCCGACATGGAGAGTGGGAACAGTTGCCAAGGTAATAGTTTTACAAGAGATACACTTTGTGACTAACCTGTATGTTTTTGCCGAGTGATGTGTTTAGCAGGGCATTCTGAAGGCGCTGAGTAGGTTGTGGGAAGAAGCTGATGCCTGAGCTTAATGGCGATGGTTGTTTACAGTGTGGGGTTACTGTTTGTTTTTTTGTTGTTTAACGCCGCACTCAGCAATATTCCCGCTATATGATGGCGGTCTGTAAATAATTGAGTCTGGACCAGACAATCCAGTGATTGACATCATGAGCATCGATCCACACAATTGGGATCGATTACATGCATCAACCAAGTCAGCGAGCCTAACCACCCGATCCCATTAGTCGCCTCCTATGGCAAGCATGGGTTGCTGAAGACCTATTCTACCCAGCATCTTCACAGGTCTGATGATGAGAGATTATTAGTGAAGACTAATACAAGGTAGGTGTGTTCTATTACTGCTGCTGGCAGGGAATTCACGCTTGGAGTGAGTGAGTAAGTGAGTGAGTGAGTGAGTGAGTGAGTGAGTGGTGTTTATGCCTGCAGTATGTGAGGTGAGGTGAAATGGGGTTTAACGTTGCGTCTAAGGTTATTGTACTAATATAGGGACGTGCATGCACGTGTGTGTGTGGCTGCTTGTACAAGTCCGGGCTGATGCTTATTTATAGTGCTAGCACACTGCAATACCATGCTGCAGTTTAACATGAATAACCCACTCAGACACAGTATACTGACTCCGAGCCAACCAGTTCTTGTTTAAGCCCCTTAATGCTGAGCGCCAGACAGGGTTACAACAAGTACCATCTTTTAATGTCAATTGGTATGACGCGACCAGGGATTGAACCCCAGAGCTTCCGCTCTCCGGGCGGACACTCTACCACTAGACCACGAAGGCGGTCACCTGCAGCAGGATTCAAGCTTGGAGCCGGCAAACCAGTGGTCAATGGTGTGAGCATCAAACTCGCAAAATCTCGCTAACTGTGGCTGCAATACTGAAAATCAGACTTGATCAAATTGGGGTTCCCTCATTGATGGGGCAATCATGTGGACGTTCAGCTTCAATGGTCCAGTGGTTTCTGAGGCAACGATGTTGTTGGCTCCAGCTGCTATATTAGATTTCCAGTCAATACACCATGAACCAGATTGGAGCTACACATAGTGACCATTTAAGATTTTTGAAGTTTTTATTCTGAAATCAAAGATGACTACCTGGTGTCCATATTGAACCTGCAATGTTGAGGCCTTGAACAAACATGAACCATCTTATATCCACACAAAATTTCAGATGTGTTCATCTAGTCAATTTGAAGTTGTTTTGAGCTAACAAGGTACACACTGAATTACAAACTTACCCTAGCACTCGCTCACTGACCAAGGTAGTGTCGGAACTCATCCAAGCACTCGCTCACTGACCAAGATAGTGTCAGAACTCACCCTAGCACTTGCACGCTGACCAAGGTAGTGTCGGAGCTCACCCAAACACACGCTCACTGACAAAGGTAGTGTCGGAACTCACCCTAGCACACGCTCACTGACCAAGGTAGTGTCAGAACTCACCCTAGCACTCGCTCACTGACCAAGGTAGTGTCGGAACTCACCCTAGCACTCGCTCACTGACCAAGGTAGTGTCGTAACTCACCCTAGCACTCGCTCACTGACCGAGGTAGTGTGGGAACTCACCCAAGCACTCGCTCACTGACCAAGATAGTGTGGGAACTCACCCTAGCACTCGCTCACTGGCCAAGGTAGTGTGGGAACTCACCCTAGCACTCGCTCACTGACCAAGGTAGTGTCGGAACTCACCCTAGCACTCACTCACTGACTGAGGTAGTCTTGGAACTAACCCTAGCACTCGCTCACTGACCAAGGTAGTGTCGGAACTCACCCACGTACTCGCTCACTGACCAAGGTAGTGTCGGAACTCACCCAAGCACTCACTCACTGACCAAGGTAGTGTCGGAGCTCACCCAAGCACTCGCTCACTGACCAAGGTAGTGTCGGAACTCACCCAAGCACTCACTCACTGACCAAGGTAGTGTCGGAACTCACCCAAGCACTCACTCACTGACCAAGGTAGTGTGGGAGCCCACCCAAACACTTGCACGCTGACCAAGGTAGTGTCGGAACTCACCCAAACACACGCTCACTGATAAAGGTAGTGTCGGAACTCACCCTAGCACTCACTCACTGACTGAGGTAGTCTTGGAACTAACCCTAGCACTCGCTCACTGACCATGGTAGTGTCGGAACTCACCCACGTACTCGCTCACTGACCAAGGTAGTGTCGGAACTCACCCAAGCACTCACTCACTGACCAAGGTAGTGTCGGAGCTCGCCCAAGCACTCGCTCACTGACCAAGGTAGTGTCGGAACTCACCCAAGCACTCACTCACTGACCAAGGTAGTGTCGGAACTCACCCAAGCACTCACTCACTGACCAAGGTAGTGTGGGAGCCCACCCAAACACTTGCACGCTGACCAAGGTAGTGTCGGAACTCACCCAAACACACGCTCACTGATAAAGGTAGTGTCGGAACTCACCCTAGCACTCCCTCACTGACCAAGGTAGTGTCGGAACTCACCCTAGCACTCACTCACTGACTGAGGTAGTCTTGGAACTAACCCTAGCACTCGCTCACTGACCAAGGTCGTGTCGGAACTCACCCACGTACTCGCTCACTGACCAAGGTAGTGTCGGAACTCACCCAAGCACTCACTCACTGACCAAGGTAGTGTCGGAGCTCACCCAAGCACTCGCTCACTGACCAAGGTAGTGTCGGAACTCACCCAAGCACTCACTCACTGACCAAGGTAGTGTTGGAACTCACCCAAGCACTCACTCACTGACCAAGGTAGTGTGGGAGCCCACCCAAACACTTGCACGCTGACCAAGGTAGTGTCGGAACTCACCCAAACACACGCTCACTGATAAAGGTAGTGTCGGAACTCACCCTAGCACACACTCACTGACCAAGGTAGTGTCGGAACTCACCCTAGCACTTGCTCACAGAACAAGGTAGTGTTGGAACTCACCTCAACTCCTCCATACTGGTGGAAGGTGGACAGGTACTCCAGCATCCCAAGGGCCTCGAGCCACGTGGACACCGCGATGTGCTTCTGGGCCATCCGAGACTGGTGGCGGGACTCCCTCTCTAACACCAGCCTGAAACACACAAACACACATCATGTACACACAAGTACACACACACAAACACACATCATGTACACACAAGTACACACACACAAACACACATGTACACACACATTCACACACATCATGTACACACAAGTACACACACACAAACACACATCATGTACACACAAGTACACACACACAAACACACATCATGTACACACAAGTACACACACAAACACACATCATGTACACACATGTACACACACATTCACACACATCATGTACACACAAGTACACACACATCATGTACACACACAAACACACATCATGTACACACACATAAACACACATGTACACACACATTCACACACATCATGTACACACAAGTACACACACGTAAACACACATCATGTACACACAAGTACACACACAAACACACATCATGTACACACAAGTACACACACACAAACACACATCATGTACACACAAGTACACACACGTAAACACACATCATGTACACACAAGTACACACACATAAACACATCATGTACACACAAGTACACACACAAACACACATCATGTACACACATGTACACACACATTCACACACATCATGTACACACAAGTACACACACATCATGTACACACACAAACACACATCATGTACACACACATAAACACACATCATGTACACACATGTACACACACATTCACACACATCATGTACACACAAGTACACACACGTAAACACACATCATGTACACACAAGTACACACACAAACACACATAATGTACACACAAGTACACACACACAAACACACATCATGTACACACAAGTACACACACGTAAACACACATCATGTACACACAAGTACACACACATAAACACATCATGTACACACAAGTACACACACACAAACACACATCATGTACACACAAGTACACACACGTAAACACACATCATGTACACACAAGTACACACATCATGTACACACAAGTACACACACAAACACACATCATGTACACACAAGTACACACACGTAAACACACCATCAGAGGACTTGTCATAGCCTTGCTCCAAGGCTCCACTGAGAGAAAAGTCCATGGATGTGTAGTAATTCTGTCCTCCTAATAGGCAAGTCTAGATATGTGGACAGTACAGTCTAAGGCTCAAGTCTTTTATAGATGTAGCGGCCATAAAATTTCCAAGTCCCGTGATGGGATTCGAACCACGGACCTTCTGATACGAGGTTGGACGCCTTGTCCACATGACCAAAGAGGTTAACCCTGACAAGGTAAGGATGTCATCTGTGGGATAACTCCACGCCCTGCTACATAGACAAAACATGATTTAAACTAATAATTATTGCCTTAGAGACTTGTGCAAGTCTAGATTTGTCACAGCACACTGAGCACTGGGAGACTGTCACAAGTACTAACACACTTGGGGACTTGGAACATAGAAAGGTCATGTGGACTAATTTAGAATCAATGTTTTAAAAAGCAGAATGACACATCGCTGAATACAGGGATAAATGTCTATGGTAGTAAATGTTAGTCGTAATTTGACACACTGAAAATGACTGGGGAACTTTTAGCATGAAGCTGCAGTGTCAGTCCAGTATTTATGTTGTAGAGAAGACACTTGTGATGTCGACTTTTCAGCCACTTGTGATGTCGACTTTTCAGCCACTTGTGATATCTACTTTTCAGCCACTTGTGATGTCGACTTTTCAGCCACTTGTGATGTCGACTTTTCAGCCACTTGTGATATCTACTTTTCAGCCACTTGTGATGTCGACTTTTCAGCCACTTGTGATATCGACTTTTCAGCCACTTGTGATGTCGACTTTTGTGATATCTGCCCTGATATGTTTTTGGTATATAACATTAGTTTAATGTCAGTCTTAAGACTTTGCATTATGACTTCCCATTAATATTGCTTTGAATAGATTTTAGTTCTATCACTTTATGTTAGCAGGACGCAGTACGAAAACTCGAAGTGATGCAGGTCTCAGACGTTTACCACTTTGGTGAATGTCATGGGAATGGTGCTGACATGACCAGAGTGAACCTGGGTTTGGGTTACAGCGCCTTAGGGGTTATACCCCATCAAATCAACATCAGTCGTTCAACAAGCAGTTTATGTAGCCTTCAGTCCAGATTGAATCAGCTTGCAGCTGTGATTGGAGGATTTTGTTTAAGATTTTTATGTTTCCTAAAAGGTGAGTGAGTGAGTGAGTTTGGTTTAACGCCGCCTTTAACAGTATTCCAGTTATATCACGGCATGTCAGCTTCATGTGGGAGGAAAGCCCGAAGTGATGCAGGTCTCAGACGTTTACCACTTCGGTGAAACCCACGAGCACGGGTATGGTGCTGACAAACCTTGAAACATAATCAGGGCGAACCGGGATTCGAACCCACAATCATAGGTTTCTGGCGTGTCCAAGGGACGCAACTCTGCACAGCGAATCGCGGCGCCCTAGACGACTGGGCCACCCGTGCCCCCGTTTCCTAAAAGGACATCCACCCAGTATTAATAACTGACCATGTCTCTCAATATTTAGTGCTGTCTTTTTTAACATGATGCCTTCTGCCAAATGTGACCACAGATATTTTCAAGCAAGAGACATTTCTATCACTATTCCATTCGTCAGTTGATTATTTAATAGTGGATATATCACTCTCCCATTCATAAGTTGGGTATTTAATAGTGGATATATCATTTTCCCATTCATCAGTTTGGTAATTAATAGTGAGTATATCACTATCCTATTCATCAGTTTGGTATTTAATAGTGAGTATACCACAATCCTAGTCATCAGTTTTGGTATTTAATAGTGAGTATACCACTATCCTATTCATCAGTTTGGTATTTAATAGTGAGTATACCACTATCCTATTCATCAGTTTGGTATTTAATAGTGAGTATACCACTATCCTATTCATCAGTTTGGTATTTAATAGTGGATATATCACTACCCCATTCATCAGAGTTTGTATATCTAAACCATTACCATTTCTTGTATCCAACTACCAGTGACAGCTCTATGACAGAGGTCTGTCAAGGCCAGACATTAGTCACCAGTCCACCACAGACAGGCAAATACAGCACCATAAGTACCAGACACATTGCACATGGCTGATGGTACTGCAGTAAAGTCACCGAGGATCCCTGTGACCACAGCTATTGAACCTGGGGGATTCTGGGTAAGCGATGTCCCAGGGAGGTATGCTGGTTGTAAGAAGAGACTTGATGGACTCAGTGATCAGGCCACTGAATGGTTGATTGCTGGTCGTCAGAGACTCAAACATTACTTACTTCACTGTATTAAACACACTCGAGAAAGAAATATACTCTTTGAAAAACTATCCAGACAAAATGTAAATGTAAATGTCCACAGTCATGAAGACAAATTATTTCAATACATCCTGTCAAATAATGAAGCAGTCAATATCAACTGCATTTGTTTCCACATCTATAATTTCAAACAATAAATACCCCTTCATAATCAACCGTTGACATTTTATGTATAAAAATATGTAATATTGATTATTTTGTTTTTGTATGTGTCTACAGGAACGTAAACTATGTATGTCTGTATATATGTATATATAAATCATAATGTTTGTCTTTTAAAATTGCATCTGTCCCGTAATGGAACGTTTCTGCAATAAATATTATCTTATCTCTTATCTTAAGGATTGATGTCATCACTAATTTTTCTGGTCCAGATTTGACTCTTTACAGACTGCCATCATATAGTTGGAATATTGCTGGGTGCGGCATTAAACAACAAACAAACAAACAAACAAACAAACAAACAGACAAACAAGCAAACAAACTAAAACTCTCCAGCATCCAACTCACAGCTCCTTATAACTTCAGCATATCTTATATTCTAAACTTCACAATGAAAAACTATGAAATATTGTTATTTCACTAAAACATTCTGACTGTTACATGGCAAGCTTCTGTACCATATCCTTCTATTTTTCTTCATCAGATGAGGTCACTCCTCACTTTGACTTGATTGGAAAAAATGTTCAACACTTTCATCATCCTTTCATCACAGCCAAAATAATTTTGAATCAACAGAATATTATTTTCCTCTCTTGGGTGACTTGTTTATCAGTGTCTACCTTTGGGTGCACCTTTGGGTGCACATTTGATGCGATTCATGTCATTGCAAGACTAACCAAATGGTCTCAATGTATTTCATCATGCAAGTCCGTAAGCATGTCCCCCAACAATCCCTCAACCCTAGTATTTTTGCTCAGCCCTTTCTGTAATGCTAAAGCCCTAAATGAAGCAAGTTAAAATTTTCCACAGGTTCTGGCTCTCCCATCCCACTGGGGCTCCGCTTCAATTTAAATGTAGTTGCTTGTTTCTATCTAAATTCTATATTTTGAAAGACTATGCGAAAGACAAGCAAGTTGAATGCAGGAATAATTATGAACAATTTTGCCTGAAATTTGCTTAAATGACAAAATAGAATATTCCAGCACTAATCCATGATAAAGCAAAACATAAAACAACACATTTAAACACATACCTGAGTAGATTCTGATAGGAATCTTCCACCCTGCACATTGCCATAGTTGGTCAATATAGGTCAGTATCACACGCTTGTCAATTTCAACAGTGTGTCACAGTGGAGATGTCAATATCAGTATATCACAAACTCCAAGGCGCTCATTTCCCATATAGACAAGGTTAATTTCACGTCACAATGTGTCACAGTGGAGATGTCAATATCACAAACTCCAAGGTGCTTATTTCCCATATAGTCAATGTTAATTTCACGTCAATAGCACACACACTACGCGAACACACTGTGATCACATCCAATGCTTCTGGCAAGTGTTTAAAACATTTCACACAGGTTGTCTATTTCATCCAGCTTGTACTACCCATGTGATAACATTGTAGTACATCCGAGTACCCACATTCTCAAGGTGACATAAGTAAGTTATATCACACACTTCAGGTAATATACCTAGTTTTACGCCTTGGCTCAAGATCT